TTCAGGGAAGAAAAAAGTTTACAAAAACCAATATCGATTCTCGTTTATGGGGTCGGATAAATTTTCTTTAGTAAATAAAAATTCGCAAATTTTTTCTTCCTTTGTAAATCGAATATAGCAAAATATTATCTGGTAGAATAAATTCATTAATCTGCAATGAAAATTAAGTAGTTTCCAAAAAAATGAATTTCAATATTCACGGCCATTTTATCAATTCGTGCACTGTATTTTTGCTTAAGGAAAGTTTCTTCCTAATATCAAGTGTTGATTCGCGCAAAAAATTGTGCATGCCCATTCATGATAGAAGGAAGAACCAGTGAAATGTTATTTTCTCGATTTACCGATAAGTAATGGATCCATTTTCAGATGCACATAACCCATCAATTCCTTCTTCGGATGCAGGTAAAAAACTCATTCAACTTTCTTCGCTTTAAAAATTTATTCTTGTATGACACTTTTTTGCCTTTGATATCAGTGTGAATTCCTTTCAAATGATCATGATCATTTAGTCTAGACGGCTTCCTACTTTCATTGGTGAATATTTCCACTTTTTTTGGTAAATTAGGCACATTGGTGATCTTGAGACATTGAATAAAAAACCATACTTAAGATTATATTGTGGGCATTTATCTTTATAATGATATCTTTAGGCTTAGGCTTAGGCTTTGGCTTAGGCTTAGACAGGTTAACTGTTGCGGAAGTGGAACTTCAGCATCTGCATATATTTAAATACTTTTATATTAGCTACAAATATGAGCAGGTCATTCGCACCGCACCTGCTACACATCTCCTTCCCAGTGGAAGCATTAGGAAAATAAGAGAGAAAAGAGTTGTAAAAAATATTAGAAAATATCACAGAATTATAGTAGAGTACCTCATGAATAAGAGGTACTCTATAATAAAAACATCTATTTTAAGAGAATGGACAAACAAAAATCTTTCTTCCTCCCATCTCAAAACGATTATAAGCTCCCAAGAGACTAGTTTGGCCATTTTGGATTTCTTTGGGGAAAGGGAAGGTAGAAATGGAAAGGAGATAAGCAAAGGAAATGGGTTGGAACCTGGGAAACATTGGGTGGGAACGTTTTTCATCGTCGTCGTTTTTGCGTGGCTCTACGGAGTACCTTATCCATCTCTCAAAGATTTGCCATTCGGGAACATATGCCGCAATAGTATTATAGGTTTTGAATTTTTAGATTTCTTCTGTTCTTGTATTTATGTATTGTATTTAATTACTCAAGTCTGAGCGTCCGAACATTCGCGTTAGATTTTTATAAGGTGAACGCTGGTCGGAGAATATAAAAAATCCCGTTTAAATTCTATACAGACTACACAGTGTAGCGGATTCACGAAACTTTAAGGGAAATATATACTGGAAATAGGAATCGCCGAGCTCCAAAAACGTTTTTTGCACAATTAGATTTTATCCTTTGATATTTCTTTGCCAGTAAGATTTTGGCAAAGAAATATATAAAATATATATAAAATCTTACTTATCGACATCAAAGGTGAGGTTTTCCGGTCGACTGTAACCAAAGTCCGAAATATTCCTCTCATGGGTTATTGCAAAGTGATGGTCGATATAAAATTTTTTGAATTGATGCGCAATATTTTTCACTTAAATTATGATGGAAATTATGATGGATTTAATTCCCTTGAAGCCACTTCGCTATTCTATCTAAATCATCTTGCAACGAGGCCAAATTATTCAATTGTTTTAGTGTACACTAATTTTTTCAATCACCTAAACCTGCTAAAGACGAATGGTGGAATTACTATTGACTTTGGTAATGTTATTTATACATAAGAAAGACAGAGGACTAGCTTGAGGCAAACCAGACTTAGCCAGGGCCAAATTAGAAAAGAAACTATTTATTCGCAGCTTTCAGTGTCGATACTTTTAATGGTGATTATTGTCTTAACTTATGATCCAAAAGAGTATTTGAGTAATATTGTTTGCTCCAATACATGGCGATGGTTTTAGCCTTATTTACGCATCATAAACACCTAATAAATCAATTTTAATCAATTAATATTATTAATTCGTCAATTATCATCAATTTCACTCATAATCACGTCGCCATTTTCTTTTAAAAATAATTATTTGTTCTGCTTTAGGGATAGAAAATTTATTTCTTACGTGGTTCCA